GGATGGGACAGTTGCTTCCCATTGGGATCATTTAATTACTTGATTTACCTGACACTGGTCTGAGGACGAAAAATCACTTTTTAAAAAATAAACTTAGATGCAATGCCCGCACAAGAGAACATCTTCGCTGTTTCTTCTCCACAGCCACCTTTGTAAAGTAATAATAGTTTCCTGCAAGGTGGTGGAGAAAGGTCAGAATTAAAGGAGAGAATCTACCGGACACATGGCTCTTTCTACAGGACAGCCTCAGGCCAAAGGCTACTTTTAAAAACAACAGCCTCCCCCCAACCCCTACCCCGACAAAAAAAAAAAAAGACAAATAGCTTTCCAAACAAATACAGTGCTTGTTCACCCTTGGTGTTCTCTAGCCGGAAGGTGTTGCTAATATTATTTATAGTAGGCTTGGAGGCAGTTTGCACCGTGATGAGAAAATGTTTTCTTTAGAACAGTTGCCTCATTCAGTAATGCACCTTAGTTGCCGAGAAGGAGAGAAGTAACTAGACTTCCTGAAAAATGGCCACACAAATTGTTTCATACCCTCTGAACCTCGATAGTGTATTGGGTCTTTGGAATCTGGCAACATCCCTATCCTTAAATCAGTCCTATGTGCTTCAGAACTTGATCAGTCAAAATTACAGACTGAGGGGTGGAGGACAAGTTGAAAGAGTTGATTCAGACCCAGGGCTAGAAGCTCAATGTGGGTGTCAGATGCTCACCCTGGGTTGGCCACTGCTTCTCCTCGGATTACTGGCGGAAAAGGAAGGGGTGCAGAATTCAACGTTTCCCTTTTCTGGTATTGAATAATCTTCCTTTGATTCACCCAATGCCACCTCCGGTCTCCAGGACGCCTCAACTCGCCCTCTGGCAGGAGCACTCCATAATTGCAGGGTGGTTCAGGGTGAGAGTATGGTGTATGGGCTCCACTGTTCCGGTCATGAAGGTGTCTCCAGTTTTTATAAGAATTTTGAGAACAGTTGTAACAGTGCTTATCTCAAATCATCTTAACATCTTACACTATGGGTATTTTGGAGAGCGGTCTTTCAGTTTGCTATTTTGCGTATAGGAATTCTTTTGTTTTTAAAATCAATAAAAGGATAATTTGTTCCTCAAATCACAACCAACTGATCTCTAGGTCCTAAAATGGGAAGAGTATTAAAAGACTCGGAGCTGGAAAAGTCCCAGTCCAACTCCCCTTCCTCAATTTCAAATGGAAAGGGAAAAGAATAAGTATTTATGTAACACCTACTACATGCTAGGTAGGCACTGTGTTAGGGAACCTTTGAGATACCTGCTATTATTTATCCCTATTGTACATTTGAGGAAACAGAGGCATTTAGAAGTTAAATGACTTGCCCAGGGTCATAAAGCTACTAAGTTTCTGAGGCCAGCTCTGAACTCAGGTCTTCCTGATTTCAGCCTCAGTGCTCTATCCACTATGCCACCAGCTGCCTCTAATTCAGGGAATTAAGGCCCCAAGAGTGTCAAAGTGACTGGTAGATAGTAAGTGACAAGGCTAGGATTAGAACCCAGGTCCAATAGCCAGCATTTATAAGCACTTTACAATTTGCAAAGTACTTTACATGTTATCTCATTTGATCTAGCTTACTTCCTCCTACTCTGCCATTATATCTCAATTCTTTACTAGGGAAGAGGGTCAAAAGCTTAAAACCTCTATAATATATCCCATCAGGAATTTCTTCCTTGAGAATGGAATTTCATGCCCTTTTTTTTTAATGGGGATCAGGGACTTTGGCCATAGAAGACACTGGAAAGTTTTGAATTTCATAATCTCTTTATTATTAATCCATTTCTACTCTTGTTTAGTTGCATATATACCTCCAATAACATAAGAATGGAAACGAGTAGAAACTCAAAAAAGACACCTAGTTCATTTATGACTTCCAGGAAGGTCACTCTATACAGTTAAGTCTATATTTGAGTAATCCTTTACTTTCTTCTAATAAACTGTATTTCAAGCTGTACTGTGCTAGACTTTTCGGTAAAGTCTAAACTATGTAGTTTTTGCCATATTGAAGACATTCTCCAGATCTCTTCTGGTTTAGTGACCAGTAGGGTATTTGATGATTTCCATCAGGATGTTGTCAACTAAGACATTGGATGTCAGTTAATAGGTGCCTGGTTGCCTGCAACTGTACCACTGTAATGAAAAGAGCTTGGTTGGGCACTTGCTTTAGGTGATAAAGCAGGACAAAACTTGCTCAAAATCAGGAGAACATAAACTTTCGAGTAAGAGAAGGATGTCAGATTCATTATAATGGGTGGAAAATGGGTTACTCATCAGGGTGGGCAGTCTTTTTTTTTAAAGGGATTGATTATGACAGAAGGTGTGCAACTATATGTAAATGAAGATTGTTCATATCCTGTGACATAAGAGTTGGAGAGTTGAACCGATGGCTATTGATACTGCCCAAATTGTGAATTTCCCCATCTTTCCCCATCAGTTTTTGTAGATTAGCATATAACTAAAATAAGTCGTGGTTATTAATGAACCAAGATAATAGTGTTAGGTCAGAATTATAAGTGATTATTAGATCATATTCTCTGGGTTTTTTCCATAATTTATCACCTTGTGAAATATCTCCAAAATTAAAACCAGAACCCAAGTTACTTAGATTATAAGAACACTTTCTAGCACTTGAAAACAAATATTCCCCCTAGAAAGTGGCTTTTAAATTGTAGTGGAGCTCATTAATTAACTTACTGACTATTGGAGGAAAAAGAACTGGGGACCTGTGTATTTTGCATTTAGTAAGAGGAAGGAGTTCCCTTTCGAGAAAGGGCACCTTGTATATAAACCTACACCATTGGTACCAACTACTGTTACATGTCAAATTCTGAAATGATAACAGAATTGTTTTTTAGATAATGTATCCATCAGGGGAATTTGACTCACTGTCAATCAGATGGCCTCAGTCAAGTTGTTTCTTGACCCTATGACTCAGCTTTTTCTAGTCACTCTGCCTTTAAGGCAAACTTGGCCCAGGATGGAATGTATGTCAATGGTGCAACCCAAACCTGAACTCTTTGCTTTTTGTGGTTGACAAAATGGGAAGATGTCTGAGTTCAGCTATACTGGCTATGAAATGTCTGAAAATATTCCCTATATTTTCCCTTAGGGAAATGTTTCTCAAACTATACTGCAAGAAACCCTGAAACACCCCACATTTGTAAATGAACCTTGTTAATAAGCATTAAATGTAATTATTTTTAGAGGATTTCACTGCTAGGGTTCTGCTAATGTATACTTTAAACTGAAAGGTTCTACAATGAAGAAAAGTTTGGGAACCACTGCCTTTGATTATTCTGTAATTTCTGAGCTCATAGGTGTACTAAAACTGAAGTTTTAAGGTATTGTTTCACTCTCAAGTCATCTTATTATTAAACTGCCAAAGAGTGAATTCTTCAGATGAGCTAACTACTTGTAATTAGCCCATCCTTTAGGGAACACATTAAAACATGTCCAACATAGCGTGGGTACTATACATTTAATCCTTATGACAAACAAAATCGCTGATTTTGCTTTTACAACTTTTTGTTATTACTGCTGAGATTACTTAAGTGTTGATATTTGCTTGGGGGGGGGGGGTAAGGATTTAAGATAGTTTGCTCAGCTGAGTCTCAGTGCTCTCATCACTCACCATAAGACCTTTGGTCCGATTTTCCTGTCTCGATTATTCAGGGCTTGATTATATTCCTTTTTGTCTCTTAGTGCAAAGCCTGAAGAAGAGAAGATGGACTGGGGCGCGCTACAGACTATTTTGGGGGGTGTCAATAAATACTCCACCAGTATTGGCAAAATCTGGCTCACTGTGCTTTTCATTTTCCGAATTATGATCCTGGTTGTGGCTGCTAAGGAAGTGTGGGGAGATGAGCAGGCTGATTTTACCTGCAACACTCTCCAGCCAGGATGTAAAAATGTGTGCTATGACCATTTTTTCCCCATCTCTCACATCCGACTTTGGGCTCTGCAGCTGATCTTTGTGTCAACCCCAGCCCTCTTGGTAGCCATGCACGTCGCTTACCAAAGGCATGAGAAAAAGAGAAAGTTCATCAAGGGAGAGATGAAGTCCGAATACAAAGACATAGAAGAAATCAAAAAACACAAAAGGTTCGCATTGAAGGAGCCCTGTGGTGGACCTATACAAGCAGCATATTCTTCAGGGTCATCTTTGAAGCAGTGTTCATGTATGTGTTCTATTTTATGTACAACGGATTCTCCATGACTCGAATGGTGAAATGTAATGCTTGGCCCTGTCCCAATACTGTGGACTGCTTTGTTTCTCGACCCACTGAAAAGACAGTCTTCACTGTTTTCATGATTTCGGTGTCTGGGATTTGCATACTGCTGAATGTCATTGAATTGTGTTATCTGCTGATAAGATATTGTTCTGGGAAGTCCAAGAAGCCAGTTTAAATAACTGCCCAACCGCCAGATAAAAGGTAGATGACACAAAATGGATGTGGCAACTTCTGCTAGCTATCAGGACACAGTCACCAATATTTCCCAAAATAAAGAATACAAACCTTTTTTTTTTCTGATGTCCTTAATTGAAACCCCTGTAGTCCTCACATGATACTCTTGATAACTGTGCCAGTAATCTCCAATTGGAGATTTACTCTTAAGGCCTCATAGAAAGGTCCAATTCTACTCATTTTTAGCTTTTTGTTCTTTAAAACAAAAGTTAGCTGCAGTGATACCCTGTACTGGGAGCATTCATTCCAAGGTGCTTTTCTTTTTAAAAAGTGGAAACGTGCTTTCGTTTCTCTGACTGCAATAGTGGGAGTGGAGGGAACACTAGGGCATGGGAGGGCTATGGGTAAGCTTGATCTTTCTGTTTCTCATGGTGATGACTTCACTAATTAACCACAAATTATAGCTGTACACACAGGAATTGAAGACTTTGTAAAATGTAACCATGTCATTTGGAAGAGTTCACTTCTAAAGCTGTACAGTTACCTTATGCTACAACTTTCATTTTCTGGGTTGTTTTTGTTGTTGTTGTTGTTTTTAATGTTAAAAAAAAGACACATCCTTTTTATCTGTGATTGACAAAATGCCCTGATTACTCTGTACCGTTGCTGTTCCTCCTATTTCAAATCCTCAGCTTTGTGAAATGTAAACGACATGTATTTAGCTACTATCTTTTAATTGTCTTTATTTAAAATATGGACTTTTGGTCATGGATAATTTGCAGTGAAACAGAAAGGACCTCCAAAATATTGGTGATATAGATAGTAACCACATGTCAGCACCTCTCAAGAACTTATCTTGTTAGAAATATCCAGAGAAGTGCTTACTCTTGATTCATGGTAGCAGGTTTCTCCATACCCAAAACAGGAATGTGATAGTCCATAAACAAAGAAAAGATTAGTTTTAAACTGTGAGTGTTGGTGCACATACCGCATGACATGGCAATGAGTTGGATTCTCTCCTAACACCTCCTACATTCCCCAATGACATTTGTCTTCATTTTAATGTAATTTTAGTGATGGCATTAAAATGATAATTATTTTATTATAATATGTTCTGAATACTGTAAGCTCCTTGAGGACAAAGACTGTTGTCATTTTCATCCTTGTCCCTAGTGTCTTGAATATACTGGGTACTTAGTGAATATCTGAGTTGGGGCTTAGATCAATCTTAATTATTAAACATATGAAGTTGAGTTATTTTCAACAGTTTGTTGCCTTTAAGAGTTCACAGGAAACAGAAAAACATTAAATAAGGAGAGTTAAAAGTGTGATGAACGAAAGACAAAGCTAAGAATTAGATAAACACTCTGGGGTGTAAAATAAGGTTAGCAGTTTCATTAGGACAAGTTAAATCCTAATTTCACGTCATTGCTTAATATGGTTCTCAAACAGAGGTACCTGATTCATTGCAAGGGCAGATATCCTTAGCCTATCCTAGCATTGGGAAACCTTTTGTAATAATGATATTTTTTACTAGTAAGTTCATAACTAAAATAATTGTGTAATATCTAAAATTTTACTTAAAAGTATTACAAAGCATAATAGTCATGCAAATAGATTAAATTTTTAATAAAACAGCAACTCAATTTTACCTGTAGTCTATTTTGTATATAATTACATTTCTATTTTACATTTCATGCCAAAAGTTTTAAAAACAGATAATGTTATAGCATATCTACACCATGCCAACACTTTTCTGCTCCAGCTACATAAAAATCACCACAAGGAAGCCTGGCAAAAAGGGAGTTAAATCCCTTATGCAAGGGTTTTTCATATACTCACTCATTTTTGCTCAGTGAGAAATGGGGACCTCTTGACAGGAGAGGTGGACATCGACTGTGTAAGTTTAAGGTTTCTGGGTCATAATTGCCTCTGGCCAATATAGCTTAAAGTCCACTGAATTAGGTTTTTAAATATCCATTTGGCTACTAGCTGAGTCATAGTAACCAAGAATTAAAATGGGGAAAACTGTCCAGAGCAGAATAAAAAACATATATGGTGTGCTTTCTATAGCATTTTCTTTCCATATTTATTTGTAACCAAAGCTGGTTTTATAAAATTGCTTTTTGCTCCTTGGTATACATTTTCATGGGAAATAAACCAGATGGACCAGCCCTTTGTACCTGTGTGCGAGGCTGTACTACATTCGTGAAATCCTGCCAGGTGGCCTGACCTGTTGTAGACGCTACCAAAATTCAGATTACTCTTAGTTAAATGCCCTCTTCTCAAAGGCAATAATAATAAAGATGATAATTGTGGTGATTTATTATGCTGACCTTGCCCTTCCAGAATGAAGAGCCTTAAATCCCAGAACTTCAAAGCAATTTATGCAATTTGCACACAGAAAATTACTAGCATCATTTATGGGGGAAGGCATAAAATGAAAAATTATAATGCTAAGAATTTATGAGATAGTTTTAGACAAGAAAATAAAAACTTAAGAGATGTGGATAAAAAATCTGTTTATGATCTTGTACCTCCCACAATGCTCAGCAGTGCCCTGTACATAGTAGACATTCAATAAATATCTGTTTATTGACACAACTTGTTTGAGTCATGCTAAGTCAGTTATGTGTGCTGAATTTGGGGAACACAATGCAATTCAGTTGACACTTCCTACTATAGAAAAGTAAGACAAGGCCTAGCCTGTTGCCTTGGACAGAGTAAGTACTTCATGAACGTATTAGCATTAGTTCATCTCATCTAGAGCTAGAAGGGACCACAAATGCTGCCTAGTCCAATTGTCACATTTTACAAGTCAGTCAGTCAACAAACATTTTTAAGCACTATGTGTCAGGCACTACGCTAAGCACTGGAGATACAAATATGAAGAAAGAAAGGCAGGATAAAATAAAGAAAGGGGATGGGAGTGACAGGAAGAAGATGCCCAGGAGGGCATGATGGAGTCCAGTCCAAAGAAGTACAAGCTTGTGGAAAATGAAGAGATGGCTGGTCTGAGAACTCCGAAAGGACTTCTTTGCTGCACTCTCCAGTCTTCCAATCAGAGGGGTAGAGGATATTGATGAGGTGTGAGTACCAAAGCTCATAGGATGATGAGTTTTCTGATAATGACGTTTCTTGGGCCCACAGTGAAATACAGTGCAAAGAGTGAGAGCTGCTGGGAAATGAAGAAATGAAAACACTGAGTCGCAGACAGTAACTTGCCCAAAGTCACACAAGCAGTAATCAGCAAAGGTGGTATTTGAACTCAGGTCCTTTGACTCCAGAACCAGCGAATGCTCCTTCTACTGTTCCACCTCTGCCTTAGTAAATTGAATAAATCCTATGCTTAAAAAAAGTCAGAAAAAAAGTAGCTTTTAGGTCCTGCAATAAAACCTAGACGTTTTACTGATTCTCTTGGATGGTTTTTTTCCCTAATCTTCCAGAGTCAGAACATGAACCATTATTCCTTAAAAAAGGTTTTATGCAATTACTACCTATTCGTTGGTCCCTTTTCAGAAGGTTGGCTGAAGCAATTTGATGATATAAGAAAAGGATGAAAGGGACTTTACTAAGTGGTTTAAAGACTTGGTTTTAAATTTGAAATTTAATAGTTTGAACAGTTAAAATGTCAGAAATTGGAGAGAGAGAGAGAGAGAGAGAGAGAGAGAGAGAGAGAGAGAGAGAGAAGAAAACTGAGGAGGCAGAATTACATAGTAAGAAGAGTATAAGACTTAGTTGAGAGGTCTGGTTTTGACCCATACTCCAGGTCATCTCCACAGTCTTGCTCATAGTCCTTTTCACTATCCAGTAACTTTCCAAATCAAAATGCCCTTCTCTGACCACCAGTCCCCAGGGACTGTCTGCTTTTGTATTTGTATCCCTATCAGTTGGCACACATAATATGCACTTCATAAGTGCTTTTTCTTTCATTCATTCCTTCATGTGACTATGACTGAGTCACTTTAATCTCTCTAGCCTCACTTTGCTTTTATATGAAATGGAGATAACACTTATAGGATCTACCTTACAAGTTTGTTACTGTTGTTGTTCATTCATTTCAGTCATGTCCAACCTTCCATGACCCCATTTGGGGTTTTCATGGCCAAGATCCTGGAGTGGTTTTGCCATTTCCATCTCCATCTCATCTTACAGATGAGGAAACTGAGACAAACAGGACTAAGTGACTTGCCCACTGTCACACAGCTAGTAAGTGTCTGAGGTCGGATATGATCTTAGAAAGATGAGTCTTGCTGACTTCAAGCTGGACACTCTATTCACTGCACCACCCAGCTGCCCTATAGCCTACTACAAGGTTGTAGTCAGGATCAAATGGGACAATACACTGTGCAAAGCTTTAAAAAGTGCTGTGTCATTCAATGTCAGCTATAATATTGTTAGCAGATGTTGCCAATATCCTGGGAGTTGAGATTCTTAACGATATTTCCAAGAGCATGATTATTACAAAAGCAGACCAATTTTAAATCTGCCACTAACGATACAGGTCTAAACGAGTGACCAAAGTTTCCATCATCATCATTATTATTAATAATAAACTGCTAGTATTTCACATAGAGAAGCAGCTATGTGGCACACGGGATAGAATGCTAGACCCAGAGTCAGGAAGGCCTGAGTTCAAATGGGGCTACAAATATTTACTAGCTATACCATCCTGGCCAAGTCATTTAACATCTATCTGCCTCCATTTCTTCAACTGGAAAATGGAAGGAGGGAAACAAACATTTATTAAGTGCCTACTGTGTGCCACACATTGTGCTTAGTGCTTTACAAACATTACCTCATTTAATCCTTGCCCTGGGAGATAGGGGCTACAAGGATCAAATAAGATAATATGCAAAGTGCTTTAAATGCTATTTATTGTTATACTATTATTATCATTATTAGCTCCCTCCCCAAATAACAATAATAATTTATAGTAGCTGTTCACAACCTTGCCACTCAAATTCTGCTCAAGATAGATCTTACACATATCTCACTGTCAGTCGTCTTTGGCCAAACATCTAATTAAGTTAAACCCTTAAAGAAAATCTGGTATTTCTCTTAGACAAGTGAGTGGATGATTCCATTCCATACAAATCAACTGAAAAAGAAAAAGGCAGCAAACGCTTGTGAGTTAAAGTCAGAGAAGCAAAAGCAGGAAATGAGATTCAAGTTCTTAACCAACATATAAGAAAAGGGGGGGGGGAGGAATCTCTTTAAATGGACCAGAAGAAAGGAATGTGCCATCCTTTCATCAGGGAATGAACTAATAGCAGGTGACATGCATATGTACAAAAACACTTTTAGTGCCTTTAATACAGCTCTTCTTTTAAGTTAATTCTGAACTGGAAACAGGGACTTGGAAGTATTAACTGAGATGAATGGAAAGGAAGCAAGAGTAGTGGAAGGTCTGATAAAAGATTATTTCATTTTTATTTTTCAGGTTGGAAGCTCAGAGGCCACTTCTCATCAGACTATGCTACTGATGGGATGGAAGTTCTGACCCTTTTGACTTGGGTGGGTTCCTGTCCTCCCACATCCCAGAGGCTCATCACTTTAATGCCACACAATGCAGATTAGCTCTAGCCCTATTGCAGCTCAGCACTCCTAAACTCAAGAGGACCACCAGCTTCAGTCTCCTTAGGAGTAAGGATTATAGAGTTGTACCACCACACTCAGAAGTGAAAGATCTATTGAAACAAACAATATCTATTTAGTCAGATGCAGTGTGGAATACTGGATAGAGAGTTGGCCCTGAGTCAGGAAGACCAGAGCTTAAGTCCTGGCCCTGTGCCATCTAACATGTCACTTAACCTCTCAGTGCCCCAAGCAAATCTAAGATAATAAAGTAGGGAGTAGATGCTAATCTTCTCATAGGGAGTTCCTTACATAGAAGAAATTACAGGTTTCATAAAAGAAAAATATATATTCATGCTTATAAGTTCCAAATAGTGGTACTCTCAGGGAATTAATAATGCCTTGTCCAAATTAATTACAGAACTGGTATCTGGTTTTTGAGAACTTTTAAATATCTGGGAGTTGTCTGAAAATTAGAAGAAAGCCAGTGTAACAAATGGTACGTGTGTGTGTGTGTGTGTGTGTTCCAGTGTATATAGACATGTACTCATATCATATGCTACAGTGGAAAGAGCCCTGAACACAGAATCACAGGGCCTGAATCTGAATCCAGATTCTGCTACATATTACCTGTGCGACCTTGAAGTAAGTCATTTAACTACTCTGGGCCTTAGTTTATTTCTCTGTAAAATGGAAGGGTTGGACTAGGTGGCCTCTAAGTTCCCTTTCAGTTGTAAAGCTATAATTCTATGAAAAATCTTATAATTAAATTCTATGCATGGGGAGAAAATTATAGATAGCACTTTTATAACACTTTTAAGGTCTACCAAGTGCCTTACAAATATCTTATTTGATCCTATGAGGTAGATGCTGTTATTATTCCCATTTTACAGATGAGCACACTGATGATGAGAAAGGTTAAGTGACTTGCCCAGGGTCGCACAGCTAGACATGTCTGAGGCCAGATTTTAACTCAGTTCTTATTGACTCCAAATCCAGCACTCTTTCTACTGTGCCAACTAGCTGATTACAAAAAGGCAAAATTTCACAAAATTCAAGTTGTAATTTGTATTAGATATAAAATGGCATAGCTTCATAAATAACAAATTTTAACAGAGTGATCTCTATTAGGCCTGGTATAGTCAGATGGGAGGGTTGAGATGAAAGCACTTTTCAGGGAAGATGTAGAAGGAATTCATGAACTGCATGAGAGCCTGAGCCAGAAGACTTATAGAATTCTATGGAACTGGCAGGCTTAGTTTATCTTGACTCTAGTAAGCCTTCTTTCTGATGCTGTCTCCACAATATTCATGCAATGCAACCCATGAAATGTTCATCAGTAAACAGTACAAACATATCCCCAACCATATCGGGTTGGTATACAACTAACTGCCTAAAGACAACCAGAATGGTTGTCAATGGGCCATATGTGATGGAACCCAAATTAGTGAGCTCTCAGCCTGGTTCTTCAAAATTGTCTTTAATTAATGTAATGATGAAGTGGAAAGCAAATTCTCTTATTTGGCATTTAACACTAAACTAGGGAGGAAATCGATGCCCAGCACCTTAAAGACAAGGCCCAAATTCAAATTAAGTTTGGTAAGTTGATGATACAGACAAGGAAAAAAAACTAAATTAATTTCAATAAAAGAACAAGGAAAAAATTGACAGAAAAAGAATGACTAGGTGCACATGTAGTAGAGAAAAGATCTATTTGATTTGAATTCTATCATCCTAAATCACTTCCAGATTTATGTCATCCGCATATTAGATAATCAGGCTTTCTATGTCTTCATCCAAATCATGGATAAAGGTGCTGAACAGGTCAGGTCCAAGTCCAGAGCCCCGTGGTGTTCCATCACCTTGTCCCTTCGAAGTGACATACACATCCACCTGAATGTACTGTCATAAATCAATCATTCAAACAATCAAACTGCCTCGTTGAAGTAAAACTATTCTGCCAACACATTTTCCTGATCTAAAATTCATTTTCATTCATTTAACAAATACATACTATGCGCAACAAACTGTATGGTAACATAAGGGAAACAAACATGAATGAAATAGAGCCCGTGACCTCATAAACTCCAGCAATCTAGTAAGGTAAGTGAAATATTTATGAATAAAGAACTTCATTACCAGGCATGTTAAATAGCCCTTGAAGTATGAGGAGAGTCTCCATAGGCAGACATGAGGGGAACAGGACTAGTTTGTCTTCCTTAAGTTCTTCAAGAAGCACTGGTTAGGGAATCAAATGACTTATCGTCTCTTCTTACATGATGATCCTATGACTATGATGGAACCCAAATCCTGGTTGTTGTTGTTTTTTCTGGATAGAAAGAGCAAAGGCTCTGCATGCCTGCCATCTACTGTCTAGAGGGGAGAATTACAAGGTGCCATAATACTTATCTGTTCATAATTTGCATCAACAAGAAGTCCTGGAAACCTGTTCAGTCCTGGACAATCACCATATTTACCATCTAAGTAATGTCATGAACCATACACATCAAAAATGGCTTTTCTGACATACAGACTCACAAGTTTTTATGGAATTTTTTTTAGAAAAAGATTTATTTCTCATCATTGGAATACTTTTTT